AGACCGATGAGCTTTGTAAAAATCGACGCGTTTCAGAAAGGCGGGGCATAGAGGAGAAACAATAATGTACAGTATGTGGAAAATAATGTGTTTTTTGAACCTTAAACCACATAAACACATTTCATTACACCAAATACACAAAATAATGTTCTTTTTAGCAGCATCATATGACCCCTTTAAGAGCAGAGATTCTATTAAAGGGATAGTCCACCCAAAAAATTAAAATTCTGTCGTTATTTACTCCCCTCCCCCTCATGTCATTCCAAGTTTTTGCATTGCATTTCTTTCATCTGTGGAACATAAAACAAGATATTTTGAAGAATGTTGGTAAACAAACAGTTTCAAGTCCCATTGATTTCCATAGTATTTTTGTCCATACTATGGAAGTCAGTCGGACATGAAACCACTTGGTTACCAGCATTCTTCAAAAGAAAATGGACTGTTGGATCCTCTGCAGTGCATGGGTGCCGTCATAATGAGAGTTCAGACAGCTGATAAAAACATCAAGAAGTTTCTTATGAACATGCAACTTTTTGCTTCACAAGATGTTAAATGATTGACTGGAGTGGATTAATGTAATATTTTGATCAGGTGTTTGAACTCTCATTCTGACGGCACCCATTCACTGCAGGGGATCCATTGATGAGCAAGTGATATAATGCTACATTTCTTCAAATCTGTTCAGATGAAGAAACAAACTGATGGCCTGAGGGTGAGCTAATTTCAGCTAATTATCATTTTTGGATGAAATAATAAGTTGTTATGGTATTTAAAGGTGATGCGCAACTTGATTGCCTCAGTATTAGTCTAAACGGCATTGTAAAAGTACTGGACTGTCACCTCCCCTCTGCACTGTTCCTTCCTGTCCTCTCCTTCTATCTCAGTGGAACCAGGTCAGAAACAAGGACAGTGTCAAAGCCCTGGTTCTGTGCACTCTATGCAACTGTTCCCCTTTTCTTTATGCTGAACATTACAAAAGCCTTTGGGAAAATGCTTAATTCCTTTCAATGCAATCTGCAATAGATTTATTTTCCGTTCTGTTCCTATAAAATGAATTAAAACAAAAATCCTGGAAGTGACTGCTGGAATTTATCCTCATGGGTTTGGCCCCATTAGAGCTAATGATAGCATAGTGTAGAGAGGTGCCAGTGAACGTGCTGCTACTTTTATACATAGACAGCAGGCGTGTGTTCTGACATAAGCACTAACCCACAGACGACTCCTGTGGTGATAACAGCTCTCCTTGTCAGACACCACAATCTGCCCGCTTGGATTGCACTCTTCTCTTGGCCACTGAATCAGCCAGAAAAGCATCCAAATTTGGCACAGTAATAAAGAAAGGGAGACTGGGATCATTTTGGCAGGGACTGCCTTCTAAATTTCATTAAAACTTTGTTTATAGCTTATTATTAATGACGGGGCTGTCGTACGTATGCCAGCTTCACACTTCTGGCCTGTTCCAAAAGGAGTCATGAAAGATTTGTTCAACCTTTAAAGGAATAGTTCACCCAAAAATAACAATTCTGAAATTATTTGTTCACCCTACACTCTTAAAGTTCTTTATTTGCTTCTGTGAAGATCCTTTAACATCCATAGAAACTTTCCATTCCACAGAAGGTTCTATATAGTGCAAAAAGTTATTAAATGATCTTCATACTAAGGAAAATAAATAGTTCTTTTAAGAATTATTCACTAAAAGGTGAAAAATGGCATTGCTGTGAAAACTCACTTCTGCAACTATTTTTAAGAGTGTAATATTAAAGTGAACCTGTGTAACAGATTTTCTTTCATAGAACACAAAATGTACATTTTATGAGAATTAATTACATTTTTTCCATGCAATAACACTAAACAGATACTGAATCTTTTAAGCTTCAAAAGCACAATAATATATAATATCTTCTGAAGTCATATGAATCATTCTATTGAATCAAATCAGTTGATCCAATGCATTATGATTGATTCACAAAACATACTGATTCATTTCTTGAGTTCAACTCACTGACTCGTTTTGAAGGCACAAAGAATGCTAACTATAGTTATACTACGGGGCCGTTGAATGCTTGGATCTGATTGGCTGACGAACGTTCTGAGGCGTGCAATTATTTTCAGGGAAACGCACGGCGAACGTAGTTCCAGGCAGCTCTCGACCGCATTACAGTTCCATATCACTTCGCATAGTTAACCGTAATAACGGAAATTAGCATACAGTACCTATACAGCACACAGGAATTACTGCAATCACACGTGCTCGCACGCGCACACTACGGTCACGCAGTTTGCACAAAAAGGTGTTGTCAGCGCTGCCCTGACGATTTGATCAGTTAGCCTATATAGTGTAGCAACTTAAAGGCTACACATGACATTTCTCACTAGCGAGGTAATAACAGCGCTGTTTAGAGACGCTGCTGCAGAACACTGTTGAGGGACGCGCAGAGGTAGCCTAATTCACACAAGCTCTCTCTCTCTTTCTTTCTCTTTCTCTGTGTGTGTCTCTTTCGCTCTCTTTCTAATAACTTCATTAATAACTGCATTAGAATGCTATCAACGGCTCAAGCCCCCGTTACCAGCTTTAAAATGACGTTTTGGAACTAGCATAAGAGGCGTTGGATGAGATGCGGAAGAAATAATCCTACTCACAATAGCGATTTAAGTATAAAAACCGGACGAATCCCTTTAAATATATCATCTGATCGATGTCTTGAGGTGTGGTAACCGTAGTTTAAGCGGAATAATTGACTCCAGGCTGTTGAATTATTAGAAAAATAATGCACACCCGAGGTTTAACTCCGCTTCGCGTCGTGGCCGCATCACCACCTCGGGTGTGCATTCTTTTTCTAATAATTCAACGGCCTGTCGTCAATTATTCCTTACATATATATTTAATTTGCATTCTTTTGTTCCTTTGGGACATATTTTTATTTATATATATTTAATTTATACACACACACATACATATATACATATACATACATGTGGTATTTGCACCAGGGTCAGGAATTAACCAGGACTTGGAGCAAAATTACTAATAAAAGTGACAAAAATGCCCTAGATTATCTATAACAGTTGTTCCAGCCTGACTGTTCAGGCTGTGTTCAAATTAAGCTATATCACTAAATTTACAGAAATTATTTTAATTAACTGATTCAATTTATGAAATAATTTCTGAAATCATGAAATTAATGTATGACATAAATGGACAAAATACCGTGTTCTTCAGTGTTATTTTAGCACCATTGGGATATTATTGTAGTTTTTATATTATTATTTTGAATTCATTTTTATTTTTATATTTTCTAAAGTTACATGAAGCAAGTAATTTTGTTGTGCTTTTGTCATTTCTATTGTTTTTTTGATTTTTTTAAACATGATCACATATTTTTATTTATTTTTATTTCCATTTTAGTTCAACGGGGAATTGACTCCGGGCCGTTGAATTATTAGAAAAATAATGCACACCCGAGGTGTAACGGCCACAACGCGTGCATTATTTTTCTAATAATTCAACAGCCCGTCGTCAATTATTCCTTACTTATTTAACACTTTATATAGATATAGTTTTAAACATTGTTCTAAGTTTAAAGGAACAGCAGAGTCCACACCACAACGATAACAATATAGAGGATCGATATAGTTGGAATCACCTTCACAATCATTTTTTTTTTCAACCAATGAATGATAAAAACATTGATAGCCATTCAGAATATCCTGCTTTAAAGCATTTAAAGCAGCAGACAAAAAAACTGCAGTGCGCTTATTATGAACAGAACGTTATTATGCATGTGGACGCTAATAAAGTTATCGTTATAGTTATCGCTCTTGGTGTGAACGGGCCTTTATAGCTTATTACAGGAGAAGTACGTTCAGTATAAATGTAATTCAGCTTTGAAACCAAATGAAAGTGTAAATGACGGAATTTTCATTTTTGCGGTGAATTCTTGACCCCAGGTTTGACCTTCACCCAATTCAATTCAGCTTGAGTTTTGTATCCGAAAAGCTTTACACTTACTTTGACTTTTATTGATTTCATATGAGGTGTGTGACAAACAGCAAGATTGATTGAAGCTTTTAATTGGGTTCGGTGCTTTAACACCACTGCTGTGGTTTATTCTGAGCTTCCTTAATGAATCACTTCCTCCGAGGGTCCAACGACTGTGGGATTGATAGTCGTGGGGGTTGCCATGGAGACAAGACCAGCAGACTCTGATCACATTGACTGTCGATGATGGCCGTAATTAAAAATAACAAGCTTTCCTGTGTTGCACCAGAAGGATGATTGCCCCCATTATGGTGACACCTCCACCGTGCTGAGATCCCTTTCACAATTATCAATCAGATCCTGCTCTGTGTGGCATTCCTCCAGCTCTAATCCATCTCAGAGGGTCACACGGACCCCTGCTTAACCGATATCAGCTCAGCGGGTGTATTATCTATGGATGACGTCAGTCTTTGCTGTATGTTATTCACTAGGGCACAGCCGCTCTTCTTCAGAGACACATCACTAAGCTGCTACTGTTCCTGCGCTCGCTGGCGAACTGTGCCAGAGTCTGTGGCTATATTTAGCACTGCCTGTTTGGTTTTGGGTGCAGATTAATGTAGAGAGATGAAAATGGGAGCGAGGGATATCCGAACCTCTCCGATGACGGATTTTATGGAGGAGCCCGCAGCCTGTGATGGGAGCTAAAGGTTTATACTGCTGGCTGTAGTCGCTTCCTGGTGGATCTTTTGGTGTGAGCCTGCATCTCCTCTGCAGACAGACGGTAAGCAGGAAATAGATACATATATGGGCATGTGAAGCACACTGCACATACGTGAGCATAGTGTCCGATCATGTATGGTGTGAGGGCAAAATGTGCCCTTTTTAAGAGTTTAATGCCTATCCTGTCTTTTAATGGAAGCCTTGTTTGTTAATGACCCTGATCCATTTAATGTCTAATGGGGACCATCCACTGTGTGACTCATGCTATTCATATGTGTGCATAAGTGTGTGCGTTATAATTTAAATAAATACATTTTCTTAAAAAATTAAAATAGATGTAAAGATGTAAATTGAAGATCTATAACCATTTCTATAATTGTTTTGGGGTTGTTCACATGACACATCTGAAACTATTTTAGCTACTATTTATTGTATAATATGAATTATATTATATTGTATTATATTATATTATATTATATTATATTATTGAATACACTGATGTTAAAGCAAATAAATACTGTACAATCTACCAAAAATCAATAAATAAATATAGGTTAATGCTGTTTTGGGTGCCTTATATTGAGTGTACTGTTAACTAAAAATAAAACAATTAAAAGTAATTTTCATTTATTGAACTAAAGCTGAAATACAAAATATAAATGTCAGATGAAAAACTTACATTTTGAATTACATTATTGCCTTGGCAACTAACTTATGGAGGGCCAAAATACTCAAAATTAAATCATTAAATAAATGTTGTAATATATAAATAAATCGTTAAATACATAATTAAATAATTAAATGCATATATATTTATTTATTCATTCATTTGTTCATTTATTTATTTTTATTTATTTATTTATTTGCTCCACATTTCATTTTCAGGGTTATGGTTGTTTGTGAATGAAATGTGAAGGAAATGAATGAATGAATATGTATTTATTTATTTTTGCATTTATTTATGTATTTAATTATTTAATTAAGTATTTAACGATTTATTTATTTATTTCAACATCTATTTAATGATTTAATTTTGAGTAATGTGGCCCTCCATATAAACTGAAAGAAATAACTAAATAAAGTATTAAAATAAAGTATTGAATTATTAAAATTACTAAAACTGAAATAAAAATAATTTAAACCTATATAGAAATATTTCAAAAGACACACAAAAAAGACAAAAGCACATAACAATTACTAAAACTTGGAAGTAAAATTAAAATAAATACTGAAAATATAAAAAAAAAAGTATTTATTCAAAATATGAATAAATACTATAATAGTATAGATGGTAAATAGTACTAAAATAACAGCGTTCATATTAATTGAGAGACTACATGTAATTGTTATATTTTTTTAAAAACTTTTCGCAAACATACATGTAAGTATATACATATAAATATATATATATATATATATATATATAAACATATACAGTATATACATACATACATACATACAAGTATATAAATATTTATAATAAAAATATTAAAAAAAATATAAAGTTTATATCCATGTTTTTTCAACAACCCTTTTGCTGAATGAAATATCAATGGTTAAAATTTTGCTGTTCTAATGTAGGTCTTCAGGAGTGGGCCGCTGTTTGTCCTTTGCTTTGAGGGTGACTGTGAGAGTGAGAGCAAGGCATTCTGGGAATCCCAGCCAGCCCTGGATGTGACCAGCAAAAGGACCAGCATAAACCAGCAAAGGACCAGCATAAACCAGCATCCCAGCGTCAAAACATACCTAACCAACATATGCTGGTTTTTTCAACAGGGAATTGACTCCGGGCCGTTGAATTATTAGAAAAATAATGCACACCCGAGGTGTAACGGCCACAACGCGTGCATTATTTTTCTAATAATTCAACAGCCCGTCGTCAATTATTCCTTACTTATTTAACACTTTATATAGATATAGTTTTAAACATTGTTCTAAGTTTAAAGGAACAGCAGAGTCCACACCACAACGATAACAATATAGAGGATCGATATAGTTGGAATCACCTTCACAATCATTTTTTTTTTCAACCAATGAATGATAAAAACATTGATAGCCATTCAGAATATCCTGCTTTAAAGCATTTAAAGCAGCAGACAAAAAAACTGCAGTGCGCTTATTATGAACAGAACGTTATTATGCATGTGGACGCTAATAAAGTTATCGTTATAGTTATCGCTCTTGGTGTGAACGGGCCTTTATAGCTTATTACAGGAGAAGTACGTTCAGTATAAATGTAATTCAGCTTTGAAACCAAATGAAAGTGTAAATGACGGAATTTTCATTTTTGCGGTGAATTCTTGACCCCAGGTTTGACCTTCACCCAATTCAATTCAGCTTGAGTTTTGTATCCGAAAAGCTTTACACTTACTTTGACTTTTATTGATTTCATATGAGGTGTGTGACAAACAGCAAGATTGATTGAAGCTTTTAATTGGGTTCGGTGCTTTAACACCACTGCTGTGGTTTATTCTGAGCTTCCTTAATGAATCACTTCCTCCGAGGGTCCAACGACTGTGGGATTGATAGTCGTGGGGGTTGCCATGGAGACAAGACCAGCAGACTCTGATCACATTGACTGTCGATGATGGCCGTAATTAAAAATAACAAGCTTTCCTGTGTTGCACCAGAAGGATGATTGCCCCCATTATGGTGACACCTCCACCGTGCTGAGATCCCTTTCACAATTATCAATCAGATCCTGCTCTGTGTGGCATTCCTCCAGCTCTAATCCATCTCAGAGGGTCACACGGACCCCTGCTTAACCGATATCAGCTCAGCGGGTGTATTATCTATGGATGACGTCAGTCTTTGCTGTATGTTATTCACTAGGGCACAGCCGCTCTTCTTCAGAGACACATCACTAAGCTGCTACTGTTCCTGCGCTCGCTGGCGAACTGTGCCAGAGTCTGTGGCTATATTTAGCACTGCCTGTTTGGTTTTGGGTGCAGATTAATGTAGAGAGATGAAAATGGGAGCGAGGGATATCCGAACCTCTCCGATGACGGATTTTATGGAGGAGCCCGCAGCCTGTGATGGGAGCTAAAGGTTTATACTGCTGGCTGTAGTCGCTTCCTGGTGGATCTTTTGGTGTGAGCCTGCATCTCCTCTGCAGACAGACGGTAAGCAGGAAATAGATACATATATGGGCATGTGAAGCACACTGCACATACGTGAGCATAGTGTCCGATCATGTATGGTGTGAGGGCAAAATGTGCCCTTTTTAAGAGTTTAATGCCTATCCTGTCTTTTAATGGAAGCCTTGTTTGTTAATGACCCTGATCCATTTAATGTCTAATGGGGACCATCCACTGTGTGACTCATGCTATTCATATGTGTGCATAAGTGTGTGCGTTATAATTTAAATAAATACATTTTCTTAAAAAATTAAAATAGATGTAAAGATGTAAATTGAAGATCTATAACCATTTCTATAATTGTTTTGGGGTTGTTCACATGACACATCTGAAACTATTTTAGCTACTATTTATTGTATAATATGAATTATATTATATTGTATTATATTATATTATATTATATTATATTATTGAATACACTGATGTTAAAGCAAATAAATACTGTACAATCTACCAAAAATCAATAAATAAATATAGGTTAATGCTGTTTTGGGTGCCTTATATTGAGTGTACTGTTAACTAAAAATAAAACAATTAAAAGTAATTTTCATTTATTGAACTAAAGCTGAAATACAAAATATAAATGTCAGATGAAAAACTTACATTTTGAATTACATTATTGCCTTGGCAACTAACTTATGGAGGGCCAAAATACTCAAAATTAAATCATTAAATAAATGTTGTAATATATAAATAAATCGTTAAATACATAATTAAATAATTAAATGCATATATATTTATTTATTCATTCATTTGTTCATTTATTTATTTTTATTTATTTATTTATTTGCTCCACATTTCATTTTCAGGGTTATGGTTGTTTGTGAATGAAATGTGAAGGAAATGAATGAATGAATATGTATTTATTTATTTTTGCATTTATTTATGTATTTAATTATTTAATTAAGTATTTAACGATTTATTTATTTATTTCAACATCTATTTAATGATTTAATTTTGAGTAATGTGGCCCTCCATATAAACTGAAAGAAATAACTAAATAAAGTATTAAAATAAAGTATTGAATTATTAAAATTACTAAAACTGAAATAAAAATAATTTAAACCTATATAGAAATATTTCAAAAGACACACAAAAAAGACAAAAGCACATAACAATTACTAAAACTTGGAAGTAAAATTAAAATAAATACTGAAAATATAAAAAAAAAAGTATTTATTCAAAATATGAATAAATACTATAATAGTATAGATGGTAAATAGTACTAAAATAACAGCGTTCATATTAATTGAGAGACTACATGTAATTGTTATATTTTTTTAAAAACTTTTCGCAAACATACATGTAAGTATATACATATAAATATATATATATATATATATATATAAACATATACAGTATATACATACATACATACATACAAGTATATAAATATTTATAATAAAAATATTAAAAAAAATATAAAGTTTATATCCATGTTTTTTCAACAACCCTTTTGCTGAATGAAATATCAATGGTTAAAATTTTGCTGTTCTAATGTAGGTCTTCAGGAGTGGGCCGCTGTTTGTCCTTTGCTTTGAGGGTGACTGTGAGAGTGAGAGCAAGGCATTCTGGGAATCCCAGCCAGCCCTGGATGTGGTTGAGTCTCAGCTATCAGCAGCAGAAGAAAAGTTTGTCCAATGCTGCCCCTCTATATACAGAAGCTCACCTCCAGGGGCATCATGAGTGGATAAGGGGCGTGACCGGAGGCGGTGCATAGGTCAAGGGGTGGAGCCACTGCGGTGGATGGGCAGTTTTGAGTGGGAGGGAGGTGCTATAAATGATGACCAGTCTTTTCCGCCGGAGTAACGCGAACAGTAACCATGGCAGCGGTACGCGAGGGGGTGACGCTGCCTCAGGAGAGCTCAATAGCAGGAGGCCTCCACGTCAGGTCCGGCATTTGGATTTTAGCCAGGCTATGGACGACTTTAAGACGATGTTCCCCAGCATGGAGCATGAGGTTATCGAGTGTGTCTTGAGGGCCAACCATGGTGCTGTCGACTCCACCATTGACCAGCTACTGCAGATGAGCTTGGACAGCCAGGCCACGGATGACAGCTCGGATTCTGAGGACAGCATCCTTCCAGAGGTGAGTCTAGGAACTTTTATTGAGACCCAGAAGTCTGGCATTTTTAGATCTTGGTACACAAAAGAATCTTCCCATCGAATCTCCTGCAGATCCTGGAGAGAACGCTGGAGCCGGACAGCTCAGATGAGGAGCCTCCACCCGTCTACGCGCCACCCTCCTATGACATGCACATCTATGACAGAAAGCATCCCGCAGATGTTCCATCCACACCACCACCCAGGCAAGAAGAACATCTATTCATGGTTCCTATTGGAAGAAATGACTAATAATAACACTAGACTTTAATATGTGAGAGAGATATTGTATCTGCATTCACTTTGTTCATATGCTTTTTATGTTGACTTGACAACTTTCAGCTACTATTTATTCTTCCTCCTCTTCAAACCGTATCAGCTCAGGCATTTCAGAATGACTACATTTGAGATGGTTTACAATGAGATTGGTCCACTAGTTATCCAATCACACGATCTGCTGATGCAAAATCACATAAGATTATTTTTGTGTTAGGAGTTTATTCGGTAAATGTGTTCCCATCAGAGTTAAAGTATTTTTATTGGATAAAAAATGTATCCACCTTATACTGATCTACAATTCTTCTTTTTCTTCTTCTTCTTCTTCGTCTAAGACCAAATTTGTAATATTTCATATATCGGCATCATATATCGGCCATCGGCTGCCCTGATTTCTAAATATTGTCATCGGCATCGGCCAGAGAAAAACCCATATCGGCCTCTATCCTGTAGGGTATTGAAGATGTCATATTACTGGCAAAGCCTAGCAACTACCCTGGGATAACATGCTAAATTGTGTAATTTAAAGTTTAATGTTAAAATATGCTAAAACACGCTAGCAACATGGTAACTTATGCTAGCCAAATGATAAAATATTCTAGCAATATGCTAAACATTAAAACAATATACTATATATTATTATTTTTTTCTTTCAGACAACATCAAAGATTGTCCTGATGAGCTTTACTTCTCAAGTTTAGTCTGCTGCTTTAAGTTGTGTAAATATTAAAAAATTGACACTTTCTTTAGTGAATAAACAGTTTCTGTGTCCCTTATTAGTTTGATGTTACCGCATCAAAGCATCAAAGTCTTGAAGACTACATTGTTTGATTATTCAGAGTTATGTCTGTAATCCAAACTGACATCAAAAGCTATGTTTCCATCCAAACTTGATCTTTTAACTCTTTTGAAAATTTGAATATCGCATGAAACATTTGCGCATCAAGTAAGTGTTCGAAATAACAAAATCCCTTACTGGGAAACTGGAGCAAGCATTAATAATAAAAACAAAAGTTGCTGCAGCTGGGGAAGCCACTGTAGCTTCTGTCTTCCTACATAATAAATTACTTTCGCCTCAGAGCGCACAGACAAAACGCAATAACAACCACTGTCAGGTTATTTTGTGTTTGGAGGAAGATATCTGATGTTTGGGA